TAAGGAGCTGACAAACAATTTATCCCCCTCAAAGGGGTAGGCTGTAACAATGGCCTTTGACTGGTAGTCCGCTGGCCAAGCCCGTAACCAGACAACACGTCTAGCAATAGCCGCCGAAGCCATAGCCCTGGAAGTGGCTACCATAGAATCTAAGGTGGCATCAGCCATGTAAGATATGGCTTTTAGCACCCTACTAGCCCCATCTAACAGCCCAGGATTGTTTTCAGGAAGCATTTGGATCAGCCTCCTCATCCAGACAATGTTTGCTCTGGAAACAGTGGAAGCCGCAGAAGAAGCCCGCACAGCCAGAGCATTGGCCTCGTGGGACCTCTTTAGGGCAAACTCTGATTTTTTGTCTAAATTATTTTTCAAGGAACCGTACCCATCCTCAGAAAGCAGTCCAGACAACTGTAGGGCAGCTACGGGAGCATCTACTGCAGGTATCTGAAAGAGATTTGTGGCAGAAGAGGTTAAAGGGTACAGTTTCTTAACAGATCCAGGGATTGGCCTGCTAGACAGAGGTTTATCCCATTCAGCTTTGACCTTTCGCACATAAAAATCAGGGAATGGAAAGGCTGCTTCAGTATAGTCCTCAGGAGGAAACATCTCGTCAGTGATCTCAGAACCATCAGGTTCACTTTGTCGGTTAAGAGATTTGCGCCCAGATCTTGCCTGTATCTTTAAGGCTGACAGAGTTTTGTCCAATAAATATGGGAAATCCTCAGGCTTAAAGAATCTAAAGGATTGCTCTATATGAGAAGATCCTTTTGGTTGCCCCCCCCCCATCTTCTGGATTAGAGGAGAATTCCCCTTCCTCTTTTTCACTACGTGGCAGGGAGGCGTCACAGTCATCCTCAATGGGATCATCATACACATAAGGCTCTCCCGGGAATTCCTTTTGGGCAGCTTTAGTAGGCCAGCAGCCTCCCCTGCGTCGTTTGTCTGGGGGGGTGGGGAGGGAGAGTAGGAGGGAGATCTGGCACAGCGGGAAGTCCGCTCTTTCGCCCTGGAATAACGATCCATCTCCTCCCTCATAGCCCTCCAAACAAAGGCCATCGCTCTAGGCGAAATGGGGGGGCGTGTTTGTCGTCAACATTACCCTGGTCGTCGTCTACCTCCGATCCCTGCGCGAAGCTTGCCTGGATATGACGAATCTGGCCTTCCCCGCACTGACCGGTGGTTTCGGGGATATTAATTTGTGGGTTTGAGCCCCTAGGGACATTCCTGTCTTTGCTGCCTGTGCGGTGATTTTTCCCCCAAAAGGACGCTGCCGGCTGGCCGGGCTCTGCTTGAGCACACGCCAAAGTTTTGGCGTGCTTAGAATTGCCGCTCTCACTGTGTGCTCTTTCGTGATGTCTGGGCTCGGACGCGGCCCATTTTCTATCACTGCAGCTGTGACGATCATGGGGAGACCCGCCGGTGTACATAGCGATTCCTCGTGAGTAGGAGGAGGATTTTTACTCCCGGCCACTTAAAGGCTCTGGAGTCTGATCTGTTCACTAGGCCCGTGGGCCTCTGCGAAAGCTGAGGTAAAGTGAAGAGAAACAGTTTCTTTTTTCTTTAATAGAGTGAGAGTGAGAAGAAAAACAGTTAGGAAAGTTAATAAAGCAGAAAGGATTTGCTAGTATAGTCTAAAAGGTGAGTGTTAGGCGAGCCCTAAAACTAAGCTGCTCTCCTGACTGAGGCAGGAAAGAAACTGGGCCAGGGGTGACTCCCACCACAGGAAACAGGAAGAAATTGAACTTAGTCCTGCCTCCCTGAAGATGGATGGGAATCACCTATACAAGATGGCCTCCACCTCAGAAGGAGAACTGCATCAGGAATAAAGCACGACATGGCTTGGGTCTGGGGTGACTGAAGGACTGTCTTCCCCCATATGGTCCTGCTTGGGAATTAAGATTGTGGGGAGATGCCCTCCTGACTGCTCCACCAATTACAGGTGCTCATTTGATGGGTACACAAGAGAAGCCCTTTTTGGTGGCCACCCCACAATTATGGAACAACCCCCCTAGGGAGATAAGAACATAAGAAGAGCCCTGCTGGATCAGACCACAAAGGCCCATCTAGTCCAGCATCCTGTCTCAGGCAGTGGCCAACCAGCTACCTCTGGGAAGCCCACAAACAGGAAGACTGCAACAGCATCACCCTGCCCAGTGCTCCCCAGCAACTGATTTAAAGAGGCCTCCTGCCTCTGGCGGTGGAGGGAGTAGGCACTGGAGAGAGCTGCCACTGAAAGGCCACAGTCCACTCCCCTTTTAAAGCCTTCCAAGTTGGCAGCCAGTTTCACAAATTAACTATATGCTGTGTGAGGAAATACTTTCTTTTGTCTGTCCCAGCCTTCAGCTTCAATGGATGACCCCGATGCTAAAATAATGGGAGAGATAGAGAAAAGTTTCTCCTTGTCCTGTCTCTCCATACCATGCATACGTTTATAAAACTCTAGAATAGAAACTCTGCATTGTAGAAGAACTCTATACTGAGATAATATAGTCAGAGGAAGAATTATAGTTATCTATCTCAGGGATGGGCGAGAGACTGCAGGGCAAGCACAGCCTGTCCTCATGGTGGTTAAAAAGAGAGAAAGGGAAAAGAGGTTAGCAGGATGGAAGGAATGCCTAAGAATAGCATTCTAGGTAAACAAGGAGACTGTAGCAGAGCAAACAAAGGGAAGGGAGACAGGATCAGACCCATCTAGCCTTGCTAGCTCTTACTGCCTCCATTAAAGTGACTTCTGTACAAGGAACACACTGCACAGACCTGTGCTAACAATTTAGTTTTCTAGCCACAGATAACATTTAATAAAAGCAAACGTAAATGAATCAGGCAATTGACTCATCCTATGGCCACCACCCTGATTCGGAAGAAAATCCATTTCTAATCACTTTGCGAAGGAAAACCTGCCGCGGTGTTCCCTCTAAGCTGAGTTAGTGTGAGCTAGCTCACAGTTTTTTAGCCTCCGGCTAACACATTTTTGTCTTTGCTCAGGAAGGATGGCTCCAGAGCAAACTGATTTATGCAGTAGCCAAATCGCTTGCTTGCAACTTTAACACCAATAGCTCACAAAGTTGAATTTTTGCTCACAAGACTCCACTGCTTAGAGGGAGCGTATTAACTCTTTAGGGAAGCCTAGTTTCCTGGCCTCATTAGCCCAGTACTCCTGTGTGTGACCAAGTGGTTAAGAGTATCACACTGGGATCTGGGATACCCAGGTTCGAATGCCCACTTTGCCATGGCAGCTTGGGCCAGTCACTCGCTCTCAGCCAAATCTACCTTATAAAGTTGTTGTGAGGATAAAATGGAGGAGAACGATGTGAGCTACATCACCACTGGGAGGAAAGGTAGGGTATAAATGAAGTAAATAAAAATACTGCATCAAAGTCAGTAGTCACAGCTGATCAATACAACACAGGACAGGCTGTAAAAATCATCATGTTCTTTTCCTATTCACTTAAAATAAACACTACTGAGATTTTCAGTTCATTAGTGTCTGTCACCATAATACATGTACAATATGAGACTTCCCAGCACAAAACATATAAATATACAATAGCTGTGGAATAGGATGCAAATTTAGAAAAAATCTATGAATGCATGTCTCTTTAAGAATACAATACCTCAATTTTTCTATTGAAGACAGAATTACAATAGCAAACAACAAGCATTTACAGTAGAACAACAAAGATTCCAGATATGCACTTCGTTTCATCCATCTTCTTCAGGAATACAATACTACACTCTGTGCTGAGTCCGTTTTTCTCTCTTTCTTCAATCACTTACAAAATTCAATGCAATATTCAAAACACTAGAACAAACTTCTGATGTGACATCAGTCATAAATTTCAAGTGTTCAATTCTATGTACTTATTCAACTGATGGGCATTGGCAAAAGACGTAGCACAACATATCCCAGAACTTTAAATAATTGTTTTATTCCATTTTAGGTTTACTCAGTTTTAAAGAATAAACATAAATAACAATACATAGCACACATTAAAAAAAATAGAATATCTGATATCAGTAGAAATATCTATACTTTAAGGCACTGAGAGCAAGAGAAGGGAAAATACACAATGCCAATTCCTTCAATTCAATGCTTATCCATCCTGAATGTGCGTACTGTTCATACCTTTTAAAATACCTTTTAAAATACCATACTCCTTCACTAATTCTGAATCCTGACTGAGAAATTCCTTTCCCAAAGGTAAGAACTGTGTTACTTTGGAACACATCAAACAAATTCTGTTATAGGGGAAACTGTTTTAACATATATGAAACAATTATGCAAGATGGCTTTACAACCCTGTATTTGGTTAAAAAAAATAGCAAGCTACATTAGACTGAAGTTGTCTAAATTGCTTTCAACACAAGAAATTCACTGTAAACGTCTATGTAGTAACATATTTTATACAATCTCTTTCCTAAGTCTCCAATGAATTTTCACTCACAGGAATTTTCAGAGTTAAAGGGAGAACTGCACAAACACCCCCCCACACTGCTTTTTACTTACCTTTTCGTATTATTTCCCAGATGTCTGCAGCTAGATGCAGTCAGAGAACTTGTAGGGAGCGTGAAGAAATCTTGATTATCACTTCATCACGCAGCCAATCAGATCTGGCTAAATTATGGCATCACAAGGCCAAACCAGAATGAGGACAATGCTTCCTGCACTAACTCTGAATGGGCAAAGAGTTCTACCCCATTTTGTAGCTTTCAACAGATGTGTGAGCATTTTTCCATCAAATCCCCCCATCTCCATTCTTGTCCCCCTCCTTTACAAAACGGGACTCTTCTGAACGTGTAGAACTTTAGATGTGTGCCATATCTGAAGTAACATAAATGCAGCAAATGAGATGCTATCCTAGCATTCAGCAAGATTTCAGTCTTGTACATGCAGCTCACATGATGGGCACATAAAGTAGGTAAGAATCTAAAGGGCAGGTTTTCAAAGATCCCTTAAGATACATTTGCTGTTAGACCGCTTGGGTATCAGTACTGACACCTTGTGGTCAGTGCACCAATCCTGTCTTGTCTTTTTCAATTATTTATAAATGGGATTTGTTAAAAGATACAAGTTGAACAACAAAAAACAAGTTGATACAAGGAGAGGACAACATACAGGTTCTTTTGTCTTTACAATTCACACACAGTTGGATCAAGCCTGTTTCTCTTTACATACAGCCCCAGATATCATGGGACAAAGAGGCAAAAATCATTTGCAACTCAAAAGGCATTTACACACTTTATCATTATGACCCTAATATGCCACTGTCAACCAGAAAAAACAAAACAAACAAAAACAGGTTGCTGATGTATGAGAATTTTAAAAATATCCAGATACTTAACAGGTGATGTTTTTAAAATCTGAATACCAGAAGATCTGCATTTAAGTCCACTGAATAAATGTATATACATGGGTGCATACATATCATCTGAGAAAGGGGTATTTAAGGCATGGACCAGTTCCACTGCACTCCCTATACATGAACAATTCCCAGAAGACTCAACAGAGTTCTGTCCCTTCCCCAACTGGCTTACCTATACTGTCAGCATCATGGGGCATTATGGGGAATGTGAGCTTTGTACATACCTCCAAAATCCTTCTCCATATGTGGTAAGAGTTATTTGGGTTTTGCAAGGAAGAAATGGGGCTCTGTTACATCCTGTGAGACTCTTCCTCACACAGGTTATGTAGTCACAGTAGTAGTGGGGCATGCCTTTAGCACTGTATACAATACAGGTGACAAGTATAAATACAACAACAAATTCAGTAGCTCCAATATAAGCCTACAGCAATATTTAAATATTAATGTTTTTAGAGATTATAAATCCTCCTTGACACGTATATGTCCTTCCTGCAAATCTTCCAGTTTTGGTGCTAGCCACCTGAAGTATACATCCACTGGATCAATGTTCCAGTGTTTATGAAAGGAAATCGGAACTTGATGGGAGAGATAGTCCTTTGGATAATCCACCGGCCGAGCCTGAACAGGTAGGATGTAAAAAAGAAGTCATGTATAATAAGAGTTTCTTAGACCAATTAAGCAGAATCACAGTTAGAAATAACGCAATTCAGTCAATCCTAGGTCTTAATTATTCTTAAAGGAGAAGTGAAGACATTCAAATTCTATACATGTTCAGTATGTAAAGACCACTTTACACAAGCTGGGCTCTACACATGTAGACCACCTAAGCCAACACAAAGTTCAGTGGGAGGGCACCAGGTGGCAGAGGGGCTGGTGCAACCCCAGCCTCCCACAGTGTGTACGAACTGAAGGATTATCATCTGGAGGAAACAGATTATTGTCCTTTGTCATGATCAAAAACCCTCCCTCATTTCCAGATGTGTTCATTATGGGAAGAAGTTATGGTTCAATTTCCAAGCAGCTCTCCATTATAATTCCAAATGAATTATCATGTGATTGAGGGGGGAGGGCATTTGGAACAGCACAGACATATAACACCACCAGCATACAAATATTATGAACCAGGACAGACCCCTTGGAAAGCAGATGATTTTTTCCCCTAATGCTCAGTTAGCAAGCTTGTAATTGCTGAGCTCATTCCCAAACTGAGCTGAGAGAAGTTCACTCATTGCTCATTGTAAGGGCACAGTAATGCTGGGCATATTGTGTTGCTGGAAGCAGCAGATGACTACTGTTCCACACTGTTAGGGTTGCCATGCAATATGTTCTTAAGAGACTAACCACATTAGCAGTTATATGATTCTACCCAGTGCAATTCTGCAATGGTAATGTTGAAGTACTGTATAATTTCATCCTGTCTCCTTGTAAGTATGAAATTAAATTCAAGTTCCACTTTTGCTTCAGCTATGAGAAGCTCACTGCCAAAAACCTTTATAGCACTAAATGATCCAATAATTGACACGACCACTAGAAGAACAGAGCAATGAGACTCTTTGGCAGCAGAATAACCTGGCTGGGAATGGGAAGGAGGGTAGGTGGGAACAAGTGAGATGTTGTCTACTGAGGATCAGGGTAATAAACCAAGACAATTAAAAACAATTCCGTTATGAATAACTTATCAGAATCACAACAGGATTTAGTTGTCACTGGGTCATAATTGAATAGTAGAGAACCATTATACAAAAGTAATTTTTTAAAATTCACAGTAGCTATATTAAATGTTTAAATTTGCATGAATAAAGAGATTAATCATTATTATTTCTCAGCAGCAGTTCAAAATCTTAATTCAGGTGATTTTAAAAAGAAGTAATATGTTTTAAAAAGATGTTCCAAGTCCTGTCCTTCCGAAGAGCATGATTACTCTTGAATGGCACAGAGATAAGGAAGCTTAAACAGAATCTTCCTCCATCCTTCTAACAGATGCTGAATTGCCCAGATCAGAGAGAACACATTCTTCAGGAACATGGCCAGGCAGCTGTTTAGAAGGTCAACAGAAGCTGCCATCTACTTATACCCTCAAGTGTACTTTTAAATTATTTAATATTTAATTCAATTGCGTCTAGAGCTATTCAGCATAGGGATATAGATACAGTATGCTATTTTATAAAATTACTTCATACATCTAATCTGAAATGAAAACAAACTAAGAAAATATGGGGGGAAAGAGAAAAATGCATCCCTTTATTCAATCTGTAACAACTATCCCTCAGGGCCTAACAAGATGTAATTGACTATGAGGCTTCTCAGACAATTTTGTGAATTCCAGCTGCGAATGTTGCTCAAGGTACATGGGGCTTGATTCAGCACTGATCCAATAATACTGCAATTTCTCCACAGTTGAAGGCCTACTGAAAGATATTCTTGTTTCACTGTAGCTTTGGAATAGTTTGCACAAGTCCCAGTTCCTTCACAGTTGCTATAAATATTTCTTGCCATCCCCCTTTTCTTGTTTTTATGTTATATTTACAGTTTCTAGCTAGCAAAATATATTATTTCTGGAGGGGCTGCACAGTATACATATTTTATTACTTATTTAAAATACCTTTATGCTGCCTTTCCACGCAGTATTTTATTTTATTTATTTATTTGTCATATTTATATCCCGTCCTCCCCGTGAGCGGGCTCAGGGCGGCTTACATTACTTATGTCAAGTAATGTACAAGCTCCTCAAGGTGATGGTGGTGAAGAGCCTAAACATTAAAACAAACTTTAGGATGCTTTTGCTGGTACCTGTCTGGTGTCCTGTGTGTTATTAGAAAGCTGTGGAAGACAGACAGGTGGCCTGTGACACTGTTGCTGTGGGTCTTGCCCACACCAATAAAAAGATGATTTAATAGCTAAGTATTCTGCTTGACCTATCAGTAAAGAATTTACTGGCAGAGAGAATTAAATGTATAGCTATACAAAGAAAATTATTGACTTCCGATTTTGGCAACTTCCATGGCGGGTGCGCTCCTTCGGTGCTCTGAAAGGAGCAGCCCGTGACGCGGCAGATGGGAGGGGGCCCAGTTGATCCGGACCCCCCCCTCGGAGTCCTTGTAGAGGACTCTCAGCCTGGGGCGCTAGAGGCTGCCTCTCCCGAGGCTGTGGCCAAGGAATCGAGGCACCTCCGAGCTCCGATAGGTCCCGTCACCGTGGTGCCATTATGGCACCAAGAGTTGTACACCGGGCGAGCGAACAGGTGATCCAACAAAATAAAGCTCTCCTTACCTCTGCAGCAGACGTGGAATGAAGTGTGAGTGCTAATTCCTTTTTGACTGGCTATTTGGCAAAGTGTATATCCGAAGCCCTGAACGGCATCGACGGAGGAGGAGGGAGCTAGCTCATATCCCCCCCATTTCATTTTTAAGCAAACTCTTTTAGCAAGAGGAGCTAGGAGAAACGGCAATGGTTGACTGAATCAGGCAAAGTACAAATCTAACCAAAGCGAGCTTTTGAAGCAACTTTTGCTGACTTTTGAAAACTTTCCTTGAAATATAAACAATGGCTGGGCGGGCAGAAAAGATGGCAACGAGACTGAGACACTCTCCTGCAACTACAAGATCAACATGTCCGGCTACTAAACCGGAAGTAAATATTGACTTATGAACATGTTGGCTACTGCATTGCACCCTCTGCTGGAGCAGATGACTAACCTCAACAAGAAGTTGGATGAGATCCAAAAACAGCTTAAAGAGACGAATTTAAAAACAGAGGAGACTGTAAAATCAGTGAAAAAGGTTGAAGCCAAAACAAAAGAGACTAATCAAAGACTGGAGGTGATGGAAAAATAAAGATCCTCTGATAAAATAAAGATCCTCTGATAAAGACCAACTTTTAAGACTACAAATGGAAAAATCGGCGTATGTTCTGAGATTTCAAGGTGTTCCCGAACAGCAAGATGAGAATCTGAAAGAAATATTAAGTGAAGCATTGGCCCCAATGACAGGTTTAACGGCGGACATATTGCAAAGCGATCTGGATTTGGTCTACCGGACATATCCAGAATATATTAAGAAAAAGAGCCTGCCTGGGGAGATAGTGGCGAGATTCTCTAAAAGATCAAGAGACCTGGTGCTCAAGGCCACAAATGGGAATACCTTAAAAATCAAAGATGAAGAAATCAGAGTCTTAAAAGACATTCCATTTGAAATAAGAAAGAAGAGGATTCAATTAAAAAAAAATTAACCGGCTTTTTGCAGAAAAACTCCATCCCCTACAGATGGATAATACCTGAAGGACTGGTCTTCAGCTACAAAGATAAAAAAGAAAAGACAGACTCTGTTTTAAAAGTGAAGATGTTCTTGGAACAGCAACAAAAACCAGCGAACAAAAAAGATACAGCAGAGGAACAAGATATTGAAGAAAAAAGCAGCACACATGGAATCAACAGCGAGATGCAAAAAGCAGCACACGTCGGAATCAACAGCAAGTAGTAACCTAGAAGAAGACTCTGAATCAGAATTAGGGGCAGCAGCCCCAAAAGTCCTGAAAGTCAAATGGAAATATGAAAAGAAAAATAAAGGGAAGAAACAGATTTCATAGAATTGTATAAGCCTAAACGTTTGTATTTACTTGATTCAATTATATATTTACCACTCTGTAATAGAAGTGGTAGAAATTAGCTATATTCCAAAAACTATTTCTTTATAGAGAGAGCTTTAGCTAAATATGCATCTAATCATTATATATAATCCTTGTATAGCTTATTTTAGGTTAGTGTTAGTGTTTGTATTCAGAAAATAATAAAAAATATTTTTTAAAAAGACAATTATCAAAACATACAAAAATGCCAAAACTGTAGATGAAATTTGATCTATCATACTGTATGTTTTTTTCTGTAGAAGCTAATCAAGTTTTAAAAGTTATAAATTTTGAAATCAGCATTCTGCAAAACTTTGAGAAACAAGAGGAAACTGATTCAGTGCTAAATTATAAATCAAAAAGGAAAAGAAGAATTCATATACACAGACAAGCAATATGCTCAGTTTTCTTGATAATTGTGTCAAAACAAACAGTAGGACATGATTCACATTTTTTAAGTATGATTTTGAAGCACTGCAATATTATTAATTTTGACTATGCTTTTCTTCCTCGTTCTTTATTCTTAAAGGTTTTACAGCTATTTGCTAGAAAGAAAACTGTTTTGTCATTCTGTTGCTTAATCACTTGAATGCTTTTTGGTATTCTTGCCAAACAAAGTGACAGCATTCCATTTTGAGGCTGTAAGTGCTCCTCATGCATCCCAGGCCTTGGAACTGACAAGAACAGGCACAATAGGAAACAATATTTTAGAAGTGCATTTTATTTTAAGCATAATATAAATGAACAAGTGGGAACCCGCAAGGACTTGCAGGAGCATCTCACTTCCCCCTCTGCCACTATTTTTCCCTTTCCTGAAAGCCCCCATAGTCTCTTCCCTTTCCTGCTTCCTTCTAGGGTTGCCAACCTCTGAGTGGGGGGTGGAGATCTCTTGGAATCACAAAAGATCTCTCGACTACAAACATCAATTCCCCTTAGGGCTGCCAGACTGAGGTTGAGAAATCCCTGGAGATTTGGGGGTAGACCCTTTGAAGGGCGAGATTTGGGGAGGGAAGCAGCCTCAGCAGGGTATAATGCCATACAGTCCATCCTCCAACGCAGTCATTTTCTCCAGGGGAATTTATCTTTGTCATCAGGAGAGCAGTTGTAATTCCATGTGATATCCAGCCTCCAACTGGAGGTTGGCAACCATAAATCCCCTGGAGGAAATGGCTGCTTTGGGGGGCAGACTCTATGTCATTATACCCCTTTGAGGTCCTTCCCGTCCTCAAACATTCCTTTCCAGGCTCCCCCCCTCCCCCCAGTTTCTAGGAATTTCCTTTTCTTCCTGTCGGCAATTCCCATATCCTCTCCCTGCCTCATTCTCTCCTTTTTAGCCATTCACCAACCAACCTTTTATCTGCCTCCCATCTTCAGCTATATTTATTCTTTATTTACTTCATTTATACCTCACCTTTCTCCAAAGTGAGGATCAAAGCAGCTTATATTATTTCTTCTGGTTTTTACCTACACAACAACCCTGTGAGGTAGGTTAGGCTAAAAGTATGTGACTGGTCCAAAATCACAGTGAGTTTTCACAGCAAGATGAGGATTTGAACTTGGGTCTCACAGATACTACTCTGAAACTACACCACACTGGCTTTCATAAGGTGGCTGCTGTTGAACAGTAGAAGAAAAAGAGTTGGTTTTTATACCCAGAGTTACAACTGAATTCCAGACAAGAGAGTTTTGTTGCCCTAGAGAAAATGACTGCTTTGGAGGAAGGGTTGCTATTTGCCCAGTGGTGGCAGGGAATCCCTTGATTTTGCAGGCTCCTGCCCAGAAGTGACGTCAGCATGTTGGTGATGTTGGGGGGGTGATGCTCTGGGTTTTGGGCAAAATTCTATGGTTTGATGCTGATTTTACCATAGAGTTTTGCCCAAAATCCAGGCCGTTGCCCCCGATGGCACTTCCAGGTGATGCAGTCACGTCACATGCAACATCACTGTTTTGGGGGGAATGGGGGGTGACGTCACTTCCCAGTCTTGGAACATCCCCCCATCCCTCTGCCAGCAGGTGAAAGGGACCTGGCAACCCAATTTGGAGGGTAGACTCTGGCATTATATTTGGCTGAGGCCATTCCCCTCCCCAAACCCTGCCTTCCTCAGATTCTACCCAAAAAGTTCCAGGATTTTTTCAACCTTAGCCAGGTCTGGCCCTAATGAGTCCTCCCACAAAGGTCAAAATAGGCCCGAGAAGGGTCCTGCCTCCTCCCCCTGCCTTTTACTGCCAGAACCCATCCTGGAATACTGCGGTTGCCTAGCAACAGCCACTGAGGGAATCCATTGGTTAAAGCTACAGGCGCCCCTTTTATCATTTTTGGATTTTTTAAGCTGCCCAGTGTTTTGGCTTTTTAGATTTCACATTTTTCTGCAAACCTGGTACTCTTTTCAGGTTTGCAGAAAGATCTGTCCTGCATGTTCACAGCTCCAGTCACCAGATTTAAGTATCCAAAGATATCTTGACTTCACTATTAGAATATAAGATACTTATTTTGTGTTTAGCAATTAACTTATAAAGTAACATGGGGTATATGGACTGTCAGCTCCCATATGATCTTGACTGACAGTTAAGATCTTTTTCAGAGGACTTGATCTGAGATGAGATGGGTGGATTTGATAGACAGAGGTTTTCCAGTTATGGTGGTTCTTCCCTGATATTCCCCCTCTGCAACTGTATGCTTGAAACAAAATCTGACAAACTTGAGAATCCAGATGAAAACACTCCTATTTTCCCAGGTAGTTATGAAGTACCGTCAGAAGATTTTATTGTCTTAATTTTTATTGTTCCTCTGTATTCTGGTTTTAGTGACTTGTTGTTATGTTGTCATACTGGATATTGCAGTGTTACAAAAGGGAGGGGAAGTTGCACACCCCAGCTGCTTCTGGCCCATGCTTTATCCTCTCTGCTCCCCCCGTCACTTCCTTCTCCTGGTGGCAAGGCAACTCCTCACAATGTCTGGTCCTCTGCCTCATGTTGTGCTTTTGGGCACTGCCTGTAGACTTCAATGCCCTCTCCCAGCATTGGGCAAGCCACACACACCTGGGAGAGAGCACTATTCCATACAGCAAAAAGGGAAGCACAGTTGCACTGCCAAGAAACAGTGGTGCTATGAGGGGTTGTAATATCTGTATCTCTGTAACTACTTGGAGAAGTGACTTTCCCATATCTTTAAATCAGATTATTCTGTAAACCTTGGGGCTGCCCTCGGTTTGCAGAACCGTAAACTGTAGCTGTGACTACATGAGCCCAAACAAGGGCCAAATCTTGGGTTTTCAATATACTGAATACTATTTTAGCTTGTTATTTTATTGTAATAAGCTGCCTAATGAATTCTTTAAACCGAGAGTAGGAAGAAATAAGTTAAATAGATAAATTTTTCAGTGCTCACCTGATGGAACAGAGGGCTGTGTGTTACTGGAATTCCTAAGCCACTGAAACACATTCCAATTACCATGTCATCAGGGGCATCATTGCTATAACATCGGCATTTACTAGCAAATAATCTTTGGACTGCTTCTCTGCTGAAGACCATCCTTAAGGGATAAAGTTAACAAGAAATGTAACATATATTTTGTTTCATTATACAAATTTGCAGTGATTATCACAGACAAAAACCCATAGCACTAACAGTTTCCTAGTATTAAAGGCATTTAGACAAGGTAACATCAACACTAAGTTTATAATGCCAATATGAATCACTCTCCTCACAGAGTTAATATCACAACTGAATAAAGTCAGTAACAACCAATTTTGTACATTATGTTGTTTCTTCAACACCAGTGACATTCAAATAACAATGATCTTAGGAACAGTCACTCATTTCTAACAAACAGTTTAACCTACTGACAAAAATAAGATGTTTGATGAAGAAGAAGAGATTGGATTTATACCCCGCCCTTCACTACCCAAGGGAGTCTCAGAGCGGCTTACAAACTCCTTTCCCTTCCCCTCCCCACAACAGACACCGTATGAGGTAGGTGGGGCTGAGAGAGCTCTGACAGAAACTGCTCTTTCAAGAACAGCTCTTATCAGAACTATGGCTTGCCCAGGGTCATCCAGCCAGGTGCAAGTGGAGGAGTTTGGTTTTAGATGCACTCCCAAATGCAGTTCATTTGTGAATGGCAGGGCTCATCACCCATAATCATAATTTAAAAGGTAGCAGTACAAGGGTTTAAAAATGCTGGGAGCTCCAAAGTACTTTCTTTTGGTCAGCATGCAATTTTCACAAAAGAACTGCATTTCTATCTGTACTAATTTTCCACAGCAGAGCAAGTTATGACATAACTCTGGAAGACAGAGTTAGGCCACTATGTTTTAAAGCCTTGCCATTATTATCCAGCCACCTGAAACATACACACTGTGATGATTTTCCCCAATAGCCCCAAATGTCTACAAAAAGCATCCATCTGTGGAGAAAAGTCTGCCCATCATGAGCTTCCTACCAATTGAATGGATTACTTTAATCCATTCTAAATTTTAGTTCTCAGAGGAACTGAAATTAGATGAATTACCCTCCTCCTCCAGTGATGTAACTGTAGCCTCCTGATCCTAATCCGTAGCCATAACGTTCTCCAAGAATCACTGGTTCACTTGGGTTATAGCAGCTGAGAAGTTTCTGAAGCCTAGAGATACTAAAATACAAAGTAGTGCATTCAACTACAATTATTCCAAAATGATACATTTAAAGCCTTTAAACAATCCCAAAGCCTTTAAGATGTCAGCCTAAGTGGCAGTATTAGCTCTATGATAGCAAAACACATGTCTATTAATTGTTGACATTGCAGATAAAATAGTCAGAAGATACCCACTTTAAATACATTATTAAAGAAGTGGATTTAAAAAAAAATCTCTTGGGCTTGCTCTGAAGTATGATGTATATACTTTATGAAATATTACTTTTAAAAGAATATGTAAGTTTGCCTGTAACGCAGAGTCTTTAATTTAAACATCTATCATTTTCTCTAGGCTGTTCCCTATGGATGGCAAACAGGAATGATTTCAGACCTCAAAAGCCAAATACATCTTCATAAAACTCTTTATCATTTCTGTATTATAGCAGAACCAAGAAAACTAAGCAGGTTTATGGCACCATTATTCAGGGCATTATAAAGTAGATATTTCCTACTACAGAATTTCTGCCTAAAAGCTGTTGCTTGGGCAAATATGGGAGTTTCCAGATGGTGACTCCCAGCAGATGGAATGGTGACTGGAGCACCAAACTGGATTGCCACACAATATGGCTGTACAGCACAACTGTCTTTCAAAAACCTCTATCTGGAAGTCCCTGAAATACATACAGTTGCTAAAAGAGACACTGTGCCCCAACAGTCATATCTTATGGTACCTCTGACAATGCCACACAGGAGAGCAAGCAGTATCCCATCATTCTGAACACATGCGCACGTGCACCCCCCCCCCCACAAAGGCATGAGATTGGTGCATGTTAATTGGTTCTAGTAAAATTACTTGGAACACAAGTTCCGATGTAAGTTCTTTGGATCAAAGCAGCTGAGGAGAATGCAAAGTTCAGAAAACCCAAAGGGATGCTGCATATTTAATCTAGATAATCAATACATCTGGCTAGCTAGGGATTGGTCAGTGGAAGGCTCACCTTGCAATATGAGAATCCCCCTATGTGTTCCTTTCAAGTTAGCTTTTCCCTCAAGAACATGATAGCTGAGTTCAGGGCTCTTTTTGTAGAAAAAGCCCAGCAGGAACTCATTAGCATAATAGGCCACACCCAACAGCAGAAACTCATTAGCATATTAGGCCACACCCCTGACAGCACAGCTCATTGGCATATTAAGCCACACCCCCATGTTGCCAGAAGTGTGGTCATCCAGCCACACCCACCTTTTGCTTGTTATTCTGTTTACCTTGTTTGTTGTCCAAACCCAGGGCTTTTTTGTAGCAGGAACTCCTTTGCATGTTAGGCCACACACCCCTAATGTAGCCAATCGTAATGAGTTTCTGCTGTTGGGTGTGGCCTATTATGCTAATGAGTTCCTGCTGGGCGTGGCCAACTTGGGAGCCAGCCGGAATATTGCTCCTCAGTTTGCTTGTTACATGCTATAAGAAGTCCCAGAGTCTGTGTAATAAAAGAGAGTGAAATGGTCTTGCGTTCAATTTAAGAAGACTATTCTCCTATTTAGCTCTGACCTGGATGGCCCAGGCTAACCTGATCTCTGAAGCTAAGCAGGGTTGGCCCCAGTTGCTACTTGGAGGGGAGACCCCCAAGGATGTCCAGACTCACTATATAGTCATTTTCATATTTCATATTTTATCAAAAATCAATCGAAACTTTTTCACATGCTGTTTTGGAAAAATACAGCAAATACTTCAGACTGCAATAAAGTATTAACTCTTCAAGGCCACAGTAAGCTTTTATCTTTATGTCTCTCTTTTTAATTGAATCATCCCTAAAGTGGTGTAGAAGTTTGCTAGTTTTCAGATACATGGGACTATTCACTAGACTAGGCAGAATGGAAAAGTAGCTAACTTTCAGGGATATTTAGCGTAATCCTGGTTACAGTCATACATACATACTCTCTCCCTTGCTCTACACAGAGAGAGAGAGAGACAGACAGACAGCATTGTGGTCTCTGCTTACAAATATTTAGTATTTGAAATGGAATATATTAGCAGACTGAATTTATTTTATTTGATGGAACCAGATTACTGCCTAGACAGGTACACAAAAGAAGAATGAAGCTGGTTAAAAGGATATTAGATAATAAAAGAAAACTGAAATGGTCAAATCTCTTCAGAAAGATCATATAAAATAACTATCAAATAAAATTTATACTACAAATGGAAAGAGGCACAAACAAGTTCAAAGGTGGGTATTCTTGATTTAAAGAGCTGGGTGTTCAGATTAAAAAATGAGGTACAATAGAAATGCACCCTAGCTTCTCAGTCTCTAATGTTCATTGTTAAGATCCTTTCCCCCTCCAACTGCCATTGATTTTCCTATCAATCCCTTTTATGTGATTGACTTCCAAGTGATATTGCAGCCAATGTGTAAGCATGGAGTATGAGCTGTCACTGGTGGGTGGACAGCTATATCTCATTCCGTCTAAAGCACTGAAGAAATTGCACTCTAATCAGATAATGTTTAGATAATGCATCTGACTTTTGGCATCAGCTAATGCATCAAGGATGAATCAGTGGATAAAACAATGCTTTTGCCTCCAGCACCCACATTGATTGATGCAGATCTTCATTGCCAGAATGTTATTCTGTGAAGTGCATCCCTGCCATAACAAATTTAAAGCCAGAGAGTAGCAGCTGCCCAGGTTGTCTGGCCGGCGTTGCTGGCCACGGCATGTGCCTCACTCCTTGAGACACTTGCAAGGGCAAGGGGCACTCTTTCATAGTAGCATCTAAGCATGAACAGATGGAGCTCTTCAAAGAACATGTTAGCGAATCAAATGGGCAGAAGTAGCATGTTCTTCTCAAAGTAAGGATTTTCAAAGCAGCAAAAATCAATTTTAGAGACACAGTATGGGAAAGAGATAGGATATGTTGAAATTCTTATAACAGATATAGATGCTCAATTTCATAAAAGCACCATGGTCTGGATGAACAACCATTGCAGAATTTTACAGACACCAGCCTATTAGGCATAAGATGTCTTTCTGTGCTATGGTTTGTCCTTTCCGTGCCATTACTTCTTTTGTGAAGGATAAAATTATTGCTTGCAACATCTAATCTCCAGTTCCAAACATATTCAAAAGTAATTCAGATTTTAAACGTGTGTCGGGCGCTCTATTCTTCTTAGTACTAATTTTAGAGTATTGATATTTCCATATAAACCATAGATTCCTTTGCTGTCATAAAATCATTAAATATTTTTCTTTTCCTTCTATTACCTGAAAAATGCAATTACCATATTCCTCCCCCTTGTCTACACTGCACACTTCAAATTCTTATTTTGCACTCCCATCATTTTAAATATACTTGCATCTCTCCCTTTGAGGAGTCTATGAACCCGACACATGATAACATTATCTCAGTGTTACAGTCAGAACAAGATCAAAACAGCTGCACACAACATGCAGGAAAATAGCAGCAGCGGTACAGGAAAAAAGACAGTACCTAATTTCTCACACAATTTGAGTGAACCCCCCCCCAAAAACCCCCACAACAACAACAACTGTTGTTACAAACTCTCATGGCCAAAATGACTTCAGGTTTCTGAAGATGGCACAGACTCACTTAAAAACACAGAACAGATGCTGGAGAGATTATCTTTTATTCCTACACTGGTGCTGCAGTTCTTTCCCAAAATGCAGTGTTTGTTGCAGAACTGGCACTTACTGAAAACAAACTATGCTGCCATCTTTCAGGACACTAATCCAGTTTTCTGGCATGAGTTTTTAATGTATCTAGTTGTTAGCTTAATTTAACATTTGAGATATTTTGAATTAGCTCTAAATTATTTGGCTCTCCTATCCGACAGTTCATATTTCACTTGAGATCGCTGTTACTGCATGTTAGTTTCCCAACTGTGGCTTCCAAATAAGTTGACTTGTAAGGAAGAATACAAAGTTGCTACCTCTGATTATGTTATCCATACCTTATTAAAGTGTCATCGTCCACAATAACTAACCAAGGTGTTGTAGAAGGATTAAGGTTTAAAAATCTTTCCAAAATAGCAAATGTTTTTCCACAATGACCTACATGAGAGATATGATCCAGAAGTAAATACAATGTAATAATTCAAGTATCAAGTAGCAACCATAAAACATTTCTAAATCCTATGACCAATGGTGTTTGTTTAGCAGTACCATGTTTATTTTTTATTTATTTACTCCATTTATACCCTCCCTTGGTTCCAGTTTACATTGTTCTCCATTTTATCCTCACAGTTACCCTGTGAGGTAGGTGAGGCTGAGAGTGTGCAACTGGCCCAAGGTCACCCAGCAAGTTTCCATGGCATAAGTGGAGATTAGAACCTGGATCTCCAAGATTCTAGTCCCACACTTGTAACCACTACAGCACACTGGTGTCATTCATTCATATATACATACATACATACGGATGTACGGATGTATTACACCAATGTGGTGTAGTATAATATACACACACACAACAGAAACTTCTAGGAGATAGTGGAGATTTGAACCTGGGTCTCCCAAATCCCAGTTTGACAATAATCACTACACCATGCTGACCGTGGATTTATATTAGTGGTTGGTGGACTTTCCCTAGTTTAACCAAGGGTGTGCCAAGGGTGTGCCAATATGGTGATAGTTATAGGTGCTACATGGCACCTGCCACTGTGTGCCTGCTTGCTTCTTGAGCCTTGGGTATGAAACCCAAGGGATCCCAAATGGAACAGAACAGACAGGGAGCTTAATCAAGATGGGTAGCCATGTTAGTCTGTCTGTAGCAGTGGAAAAGAGCAAGAGTCCAGTAGCACCTTAAAGACTAACAAAATATGTGGCAGAGTATGAGTGTTCTGCAAAGTGAGCTATGGCTCACAAAAGCACATACTTTTTTAGTCTTTAGGGAGCTTCAGGGTCCCCTCTAGTTTCTTTGGAAACTGAATCCAAAGAGCATGTCTTCCCCAAGGTAAGGTAAAGGTTTCCCTTGCTCGAAATCCAGTTGAATCCGACTCTAGGGATGCGGTGCTCATCTCCATTTCCAAGCTGGAGAGCCAGCGCTGTCCAAAGACATTTCCGTGGTCATGTGGCTGGCATGACTAGACGCCGAGGTGCACGGAATGCTGTTACCTTCCCACCAAAGCGGTACCTATTTATCTACTTGCAATTTCTTGCTTTCCAACTGCTCGGTTGGAAGGAGCTGGGACCAGAGACGGGAGCTCACTCTGTCATGCGGCACTCGGGTCTCGAACTGTTGAACTACCGACCTTCCGGTCTGCAGTTCAGCGTCTTAACCACTTGAGCCACTGCAGCCCCTCTCTCCCCCAAAGCAGACAGCAAATCCCAGCCTCTTTCTGCCTGCTTGGATCAGGAAATTATTCAGAAGAGCCCAGAAGGATGAGAGTGGCTTGCCCAGTGAGTTTACCTCAGAAATGAGGCTTGAATCAGTGTTCGTCTGATTTGTAGCGCCATCTATCTGGGAATATACTACACCAAATCTCAGGTAATAAAATTTTATTTATTTAATTGATTTACTTCATTTATACTCTGCCTTTCTCCCCAATGAGGACTCAAAGTAGCATACGTTGTTTCCCCTCCTCCACTGTATCTTCACAATAACACTGTGAGGCAGGTCAGGCTGGGAGTGTGTGACTAGTCCAAAGTCACAAAGTGAGTTTCCATAGCAGAGTGAGGATTCGAACCCGGGTCTCCCAGATCCTAGTCCTACACTGTAACCCTAATACATATATACCTCAGAAGCAAGTAATTTTGGTAAGGGATTCTAGGAATATAGAGGAACCATATATTTTCTATTTAAAGCTACTGAACATTATGCATGAAATTACTTCTTGAATTTTCCATAAAACTTCCAAGCTTGAATGTGATAGATATAACAGCTATTATTCTAGCGCCATGTATCAAGTCCTTCATGCGCCAACAACCTGAGTTGGCACCAGCAAAGATTCTTTGCTATCAGTATGAAGATCTATCATAGTTATTGTGGCAGCCTGATTTATCAGACAACTACTAGACCAGGGAAGCAGATGAGACTGTAAAACTAAGAAGGGGAAGGTAACAGACTGTGTTTGAGGACCTTGTAACTTACGACTTGGGAAAAGACAATGCAGAATACCTCTTCACCTAGGAACTGTAGGTGGGATAAACCACAGAAGAACTAAGAATGCAAGATTCTGTGCCTTTGTCAGCACTCCAGGTATCTCTTTTTTGCACACCTATTTGCAAGATTACAAATCCCTCCTACTGACAGAGCAAAACTGAGGGAAAAAGGGGGAAGGAGGAAGGAATAATTTCATGTAAGTGGCAGGGATTTGGTACTGCCACCCTTCCATCCCCACAGCTCTAAATCAATCTATATGGCCGGTGTGTAAAGCTCTGCCTTTCCTCTGTCCCCAGTATTTCCCTCTTGGTCTCTTTGACCTTATCAGAGACAGGCAGAGTGTGAAGCAGTGGGCTCTTTTTGTAGCAGGAACTCATTTGCATATTAGGTGACACACCCCTAATGTAGCCAATTCTCCAAGAGCTTACAGAGCTCCTCTTACAGGGGCTACTATAAGCTCTTGGAGGATTGGCTACATTAGGGGTATGTCACCTAATAGGCAAAGGAGTTCCTGCTACAAAAAGAGCCCTACATGGTGTGTCAAACAGAGAGGGGAGGGCGATTAATGGCAAATTTCTAACTTTGAACAAATTTCTAAGTGGAGAGAAAAGAGCTAAGTGCTTGGGGTTTCCTCATTCCCCGGTCTTAAAAAACCCTTCCCATTCTGTCTTATTGGAAGATGAAAAGCCTCTTCCCAGTTCCTCCCCTCTTCAATGCACCTGGGACTCTCTCTTGCCTCACAATGCATAGGCATGACCACTGCCTGTGGTGCTTCTACATTCATGGCTGGGAAAAGCTAAGCAGGCGGATTAAGAGAGCTGTTGTGCTCACATTATTCCAGCTTGCAATGGGTGCCAGCAGCAAACAGTTGGCAGGAATAGGTCAAGAACATAAGCAGCTCCAACTGAACCCCACCTCAACCATTCACAAGGAAGATCTCCAACCCTCATAACCACCTCCTCTTGCTGCCGCCTCCATGGGCCACATCATGGAAATAGACAATGCCACTGAGAAAGAGCCTGTTAAGACTGCACTGCCTGGCCCACTGACCCCTTTAGGAACTAACCCCAGATAGACTGGGCAAAGACACCATACAGCAGCAGCTGGTTCCAGAAGAAGATCAAATCTATGAACCAGTCTTTCATATTTTAAAGCATGCACTGAGGTCATCATGTGCATGTGTGTGGGGTGGGGGAGAACCTGGGCTTACCATCATTAACTGTATATTCCTTTGTGAAAACTTTCCATTACTGAACCAAAGTACAATGTTAACACGGCTTAAAAACTCACCTCTTTCAGTATTTGGCACTCCTAAGTCAACCGTAGGAATTGAACTTTCTGTGTAATCACTGTAGTATTCAATAAGAGCAGCCTCTGCTTCCCAGGTCCGTTTCACAATGGGTACTACAGAATAAGAAATTATTCCCAGATGTAGGTGAGACTGTGTTTAGGTAAACATTAACTTTTCTTGCATTTGCAGTCACTGATTCACGAGGGAATCCATAGATTTGAGCAAATGTCACCTAACAGCACTCAAGCAAAAGGAAATCAATGCAGGCAACAAGCTCAATCCTCCCTCTGTAGGTTTAAAACTTACCCCTCTGTAAATTAGGCAGAAAAATCTTGAAGTGAACAAATTTCTGTCTCAAGTCATATTTAGGCTTCTTTCTCTCCCAGTTGTTCCTGGGCTTCTTCATTTAAGTGTCTATTGCTCCTGGAGCTTTTCCATTCCAGTCAAGTGTTCTCTCCATTTCAGCTTTAAACGTTCCCTTCTTCCAAATGAAGGACATATTCCTTATTTTAAACTCATCAGATTCCTCCCACCAGCAGTGTTCTGGCTCCAAAAGGATCCTTGAGGCCTGGTCTACACATGCAGCAGAATAAGGTAGCACGGAGGGCTGAGGTGGTATATTAGACTCTATATATTAGACTCAACCACTCCAGATAGGAGGATTACATGTTTCAGAGTTTCCCATCCTTAATAATACCCTGTACGTGGAAACCTAACACAGAATGCAAAGGGCCAGGCTCAGAACCTAATGTTGCAGGGTTTTTTTATTTATAGAAAGTTTTTTTGGGGGGAGGTTACATGGGGGAGCATAGACTAATAGCCACTGATGGACTTAACCATGATGATCTTTTTTTGGAATGCCACGGACAGCACACACATGACCTGTGCTGCGTCAGCTGCACTGATTACTGGTGGAGTACTGAATCAGGTTCAATATCTAGGTTTCACCCTCTTTTTAACCAAGGTTGGTTCCCCTCAATCTTTTAACACCTCTGTCTCTAACACAGCAAACAGGACAAAGACGTTAGCAGACCTTACTTCCAACGGTACATTACTTGACAAATCAGCTCTGGAAAATAAACTGGACATCAAACTTCCCTGCTTCCAATTCTTTCAACTCTCCCACTTCTGCTCTTATATTAATCTTAAACCAATCATCAAACAACCACTGACAGATTTTGAAATTTTACTAAAACCTTCACACCCTGGTGGAACTCTCTGCTGAATGACATCGGAGCCCTGCGGGATCTGGTGCAATTCCATAGGGCCTGTAAGGCAGAGATGTTCCACCAGGCTTTTAGTTGAGGACAGCAATGGAAGGTTAAGACTGGCATCCTCCTTTTTCTTTCTATGGTCCCCACATACCCTTCCCCGCCCTGCGAAGTGGGACAGCGGTGTGGCCAGTAAAGGGGGACTGTTATATTGCTCTCTAGATCAGTTTTAAATTATATATCTACTGATAGTATTTTAAATGCTTTTAAAATGGTTGTAAATCGCCCAGGGCCTGCTTGCAGGGTGGGCGATTCATAAATTTAATGAAATACTAATAATAAATAATAATTTCTGTAATGTCTTTTTAAAGTCATCTAAAAGCTAACGGCCGTATGTACTTTCCACAAGAAATGTATGCATTGTATCAAGTATTTTGTTTGTCCTGCTTAAACCCATTAATTAGTAATATCAGTGACAAATATTACATATGGGAATGAAAAATCCACACAATCCATGAAGGGAAACAGTCAAGTCCAGAGAAGATATCCAACACTTTTCCTAGGTAGTTTATAGTGTTTCAGACTCCTGGTGTTGGATATCTTCTCTGGACTTGACTGTTTCCCTTCATGGATTGTGTGGATTTTTCATTCCCATATGTAATATTTGTCACTGATATTGCTAATTATATGCTTCTTTTCACTTTATTGAAGTCTCGTTTTGTACATTTATACTTGCGGGTATTTCAGCTCACAGTTGTTTTGTTTCGCTGTTCCTGGCTATATTAGACTGTGTGCTGTATTGTTTGTTGCTTTCTGCTTAAACCCATGACACATTTCTGTTTCTGCTCTTGCTGAAATACACAATGAGAAGTCTGAATCCACAGAAATCCCTAAGCATGGACAAACCAGTCACAGAAAAGGAAGGCAGGCCCTGCACATGGGATTTGCATATAACACAAACTCCAAGAAGCTGAAAAGGTGCTGAAATATTGTTTAGATTTTTTATCCTTTAATGGAAATAAATTCTCAGCCTTAATACTGCACTGAAGTTGGTTTTGGCAGATAAAAAAACACTAGATAAAACGAACTCTCTGAAGCTAGCATCTATAAATTTTTCACATTCTTGAACAAGATTATCCTCCACATGGTAACATGATGCTGTGAAGAAAGTTCAAGCATTTTCCCTACTTCAATGTATTCCATGAAGGACATTTAAACTTTAATTTCATTTTCACCATGTTTCCTTAGCTCTGAGAAAGCAACCTATTTTTCTTCAATTACAATGCACGTCAAGAATACTGAAATGTTCCTCAGCAAACACCAGGTACAGGTGAGTTATTGTCTTGCATCATAAAATACATGCATGCACACACACACACAGAAATTAAGGCACTGGAATGCTAAAGCTTGATTAGTGGAAAGCAATGATAAAAGATAAATGTAACTGAATTACTACAAGCCACAAAAATTACTCTAACATTTAAGAGTACAATGGCTAAATTGAGAGTATTGTCTCGTATTTACTATAATGGAAGCTTTTCCCGACACAACTGTCCAGAATTATAACAATACTCCCAATATTAATGAAAACAATAATCATATCCTTTCTGACATTCCAATATCAAATCAAAACAATAACTACCAGAGTGTACACACCTAGCATGAGGTTACCTCTCTCTGGCCTCACAATGTGGCAAACTTAAAGGACACAAGTACAAATTTTAGTGAAATGAAACTTCACTTCAGGTATCTGTGTAAAAATTGACAACTTTGCATGGTAAATGATGAATTTGCACTTTGTGAATACTCAGATGCCAAGCTAAAACTACCCAGTCAAAAGGTTGAAGAAGTAGGTTTTTTTCTTCTTACACTCTTTTCAAATAACACTACCCAAAGATAGCAGGATAGTGATTCACATGTTAATGGAGCTCAGAAAATGACGTACTTGTTCCTTACCTAGGGAAATGACCAGAATCTTCTATTTTGGTTTATTTATTTGCTGGTTATTTCCCCAAGGTAGCAGGGGAATGTCTCAGAGAGATTCTGTCCTCTGCATACATATACATATTTATTTATTTATTAGTTTGATTTCTAGCCCTCCCTCCCCACCAAGGCAGGCTCAGGGTGGCTCACAACGAGAACGATGGATAAAACAACAATATAAAAATCAGTATAAAATACACAATAAAATTATTAAAACATACACAAGAGGAGGAAGGGTTTCGCTTTCTGGAGGAAGGAGGCAGCCAACAAGATGGCAAAGAAAGATAAAAATATGAAAAGCAGCATGAACAAGAATCCTAGAAACTCTGTTTTTTTTTTCCCTAGATATGGGTAGGTTGTACACAAAAGATAGCATTTATTGCCTATTTTATTTGCCATTTCCCAGTTGTTGCTAGTCAAGTGTTGCTCAACTGTACGCTTCTTCTGTTTGCATGCAAACAATGACTGCTTGTACAACTGAAGATAAATTCTCACTTGGTAGGGTCACTCACACACAAGCATCTCCTTGCCTTCTCTTGGTAATATGACCCAAGTAGTCCTTCATATGAGGGTGCAGATAGACCAATCACACCCCATTTGGGGGGGAACCTTTATCCCTGAGGCTTTCTTGACTTGACTGGTAGTTTGGAGTACAAGAGTGATTCTCAATTTGGAGATGAGTCTCTTATGTAATAAAAATCAAAGGTCCGGGGTCCCGGGTGGTCACCTGGCAAATGCTTCTCTAACTTGTGATCTGGTGGTAGCAGTAAAAAGGAATCCTAGGTGATGTGGTGGAATAAACCTGAAGAGGAGAAGTCCTCATGGATGACTAGTCGCCTGAAGCCTAGGCTAGCTAATTTTACACCATGGTAGAACAAAATGCTCACAAAGCTTGTTTTACTACAATAGGAACCCTGGAATAAGGGTTGTTGTTGTTGTTCAGTCGCACAGTCGAGTCCAACTCTTCGCGACCCCATGGACCAGATCACGCCAGGTCTTCCAATCTTCCACCATCCTCTGAAGTTTGCTCAACTTCATGTTCGTTGCATCTATGACACTGTCTAACCATCTCATCCTTTGCCGTTCCCGTCTTCTTTGACCTTCAATCTTTCCCAGCATCAGGGTCTTCTCCAGTGAGTGCTCCCGTCTCATTTGTTGGCCAAAGTATTTAAGCTTCAGTTTCATTATCTGGCCTTTCAGGGAACAGTCGGGGTTGATTTTTTTTAGGATTGACTGATTTGATCTTCTTGCAGTCCAAGGGACTCTCAAGAGTCTTCTCCAGCACCATAGTTCAAAAGAATCTATTCTTCGGTGCTCGGCTTTCCTTAGAGTCCAACTCTCGCAGCCATACATGACTACTGGGAATACCATTGCTTTGACCATGCGGACTTTTGTTGGCAGGGTGATGTCTCTACTTTTTATCATGCTGTTAGGTTCGCCATCGCTTTCCTCCCAAGGAGCAGGCGTCTTTTAATTTCATGGCTGCTGTCACAGTCTGCAGTGATCTGGGATCCCAGGAACGTGAAGTCTGTCACTAGTTCCACGACTTCCCCTTCTATTTGCCGAGGAGTGATGGGGCCGGATGCCATGATCTTAGTTTTTTTGATGTTGTGCTTCAAGCCCACTTTTGCACTCTCCTCTTTTACCCTGAGCAAGAGGCTCTTAAGACCCTCTTCATTTTCTGCCATTAGAGTGGTATCGTCTGCATATCTGAGGTTGTTGATCTTTTCCCCAACAATCTTAATTTCCGCTTATGATTCATCCAAGCAAGCATTTTGCATGATGTACTCTGCATATATATTAAATAAGCAAGGTGACAATATACATCCCTGTTGTACGCCTTTTCCTATGCTAAACCAATCAGGGCACTTTGCATAAATAACCATAGCTGATAATAAGAACAAGATTGCTAATATTTG